TATATATATATATTACATTACATATATATTATATATAATTCTGTATCGTATCTCGTTTAGTGTTGCGATCAAACTAGGAAATGATAACATCAAGACCCCATAATCTATTATGTCTACATAGACTATGGCCTGAACTTTCATGGCCTGTTGTGAACATATCAGGAGCAAATGAGAAGTGGATTCATGTACTATATGTCGCTTTAACATTTACTCCTTTTGTATCGTGGCCCACTTAACATCCATCATATCCATCATAACATCCAGATCATATACCAAGCTCTCATATCCCAGGCTATCAAGGTAAAGAGTCGAAGTTAGCGTTACTTCTGTCGTCCATTTCTTAGTGAAATATCTAACGGCCGAACGTGTGAGCTACCGATGTTATCAAGTTATGTTACCAAAGGAGTGAAACATTCAAAACATGAATTCATATATATATATATATATATATATATATATATATATATATTTGCTTATATCTTGTGTATTTTGATCTAAATATCTTGTCAATGCAGGCATCTTGCGCACTATCGTCTGCTGTAGCCATGGATTCGGCTCCTGCTGCTGCTGCAGGCGGGGTCTGCGTGTGTACGTACGTCTTCGCCGTCATCGGTGTCGTCTGCTCGGCGTACGTCGCTCTCTCCTGCCTCCGCTTCGTCTGCCGCCTCGTGAAGGTGTACGCTCTCTCACGCCCACTCCATCTGTACGCCGATCTGTCCAAGATGGGAAGCTGGGCAGTGGTGACCGGTAGGTTACGCGTGTGGCGCGACGGATGTGTGTGTGTGTGTGTGTGTGTGTGTGTGTGTGTGTGTGTGTGTGTGTGTGTGTGTGTGTGTGTGTGTGTGTGTGTGTGTGTGTGTGTGTGTGTGTGTGTGTGTGTGTGTGTGTGTGTGTGTGTGTGTGTGTGTGTGTGTGTGTGTGTGTGTNATCTTCTGAATCAACCAACTGATGTTGATTTAAGCATCTTGGATGACATAGAGGAACATCCAATTATTGCGTCTTCGATAATCCAATCTCAGAAGAAGAGCTAGATAAATCTCTCAAGAACACCACATTAGGAAAAAGTCCGGGCCCTGATGGAACACTCTCTGAAGTTTTTGTGCATGGCGGCGCTCGTTTAAGAGCTTTCCTACTTGTACTCTTTCACATCCTCTGGACAATAGAGGAGATTCCCTCTGACTTGATTGATCCTAGCATCACCATCCTGTTCAAGACAGGTGAGAGAAGTCAGTGCGGCAATTATAGAGGTATATCACTTCTAAGCGTAGTTGGTAAAGTCCTAGCAGACGTCATCTTGCAGAGACAACAGCACATTGCAAAGAAGATATACCCACAGTCTCAGTCAGGGTACCGCAGGAGCAGAGGTACTGTGGATGGAATCTTCACCCTTCGACAAGTAATGGAGAAAACTAGAGAACAGCGCAGAAAGTTGTATATAGCTTTTGTGGACTTCACTAAAGCGTTTGACACCGTCAATCGTGAGCTACTCTTTATCATCTTGAGTAAGCTGGGCTGCCCTGCAAAGTTCACAAGACTCAACAAGAAGATATATACAAACGTGCATGCAAGACCCATTGTAGATGGCAAACTCACACACGCCTTTGAGTACAACAGTGGTGTCAAGCAGGGTTATAAGCTAGCACCAACACTTTATGGCATCTATGCAGCTGTTTTGCTTTGTCTTGTCTATAAGAAAATTAAGCACACCTGCAATGTAAAGGTCAGATTTTGCTATGATGGTGATCTATTTGATCTTTGAAGACTGAAGTCAAAGACCAAAGTTTAAGTACCGAGTACATCAGGGAGGCTCAATATGCAGACGATATAGCCATATTCAGTGGCACTTCAGCGGGACTACAGTTGTTACTCACAGCTTACAACGACCTTGCTAAGAAGATGGGTATTAACACTGCAAAGACAGGGACCATGTGCATTGGTACTGAAGCTGAGTTCTTCATAGCTGACACGAAGTTGGCGAACGTCACCCGCTTCAAATACCTTGGCAGCTATGTAACAAATGACTGCTCTATAATAGAGGAACTTGCAGCTCGTATCCAAGCAACATCATGTGCATTTGGTCGACTACGTCAAAGCGTGTTCAACTCACGTGACCTTACAATAAACACTAAAGTTAAAGTCTACAACCAGTGTCTTATGCCACTTCTGATGTACGGCAGTGAAACCTGGACTCTGTACCATCATCTAGTTCGACAACTGAGAACAATACAACAACGTCACCTGCGCGTAATCATGCATATTAAATCATTTAAATGGGATCATTACATTAGTAACGAGGAGGTCCTGAACAGAGCGGGTGTTGAAGACATCGAGTTGAAGCTAGTTAGAAGTCGTCTGCGTTGGTTTGGCCACGTTTGTAGAATGGATAATGACAGACCAGCAAAGGCACTCCTATACAGCGAGCTAGCAAATGGATCCCGATCTGTTGGTTGCCCTAAATTGAGATATAAGGATACCTGCAAAAGTGCTAGGAGGTGTGGTAATGTTCTTGATCAGTGGAGGAATGTTGTAGACAACAGACAGGAGTGGAGAGGTCTTGTGCATACCACTTGTGAATGCATCAACAT